AATATAATTACTTTATACCTGTAGCCAGGTAACAAAAGCTGAAATAATTAATATTTGAAATTTTAAAACATTTTCCACACTCAAATGTCCTTTGCTCAATTATCAGCACATATTTATTGTCTGGTTGAGCTTATGTCTTATGCTACTGGTAACATGTAACCTAGTATAACCTGCCCATGGATGTGTAGTTGGCATCCCCCACTAGCTTTTCTACTGGTGTGGAAAGTGGCATGTTACCCTATAGAGCAAAAACAAGACATGTCAAAGAGTTGATGAACTTCTTACAGGAGCCAATGGCCAACATATATATATATATATATATATATATATATATATATATAAAAGGCTAGCATGGGGATTCATGCCCTGAATGGCAACCTTCCTAGAGATGGTGTCTTGATAAAAACACTTGGTGTACACTGTACTACCGTGTGTCTGAGCTGGGCATCAGGAGGAGCATCCAGTCTTGTCAAACTTAGCCTCAAATCATTGTAATAAATCCTTTGTCAAGCAGGACCCACCTTACTTTATGTGACATTAATTCTGGTCCTACCTCAACAACCAAAAAAAAAAAAACATAGCTATGTATGTATGTAGATATACTTATATATTTGAAAATTTGGCTATAGAAAATGTGGATTTATTGATGTGCCCACACACAGAGAATGTAATACAAAGTTGAGTTTAAAGTCAGGCTGTTTCGAATTCTATTATCCAGCAATGGTTAACAACACATAAAAAATTGACTTTTAAATTTAGGACTTCTGTTCATAAGTGTTTAGAACAATTAGGATGATTGTCTATATATAAAATAAATAAAAAGTCAGGATTTCTAATACTGATTTCCGTAACAGACAATCTCTTCTAGCCCGAACCCCTAATTTTAATAAATATCTATCATTTGTGCCTGCTTCATGGCTAAGGGGATTGTATATTCCCTACTGGTGCCAGATGTCAGTGTTTAAGTTCATATACAAAAACAGGTTTGCTAATGTTAATTTTCTAGTCAAGCTTTCTGAAATTGGAAGTTTGGTTTAATATTGGCTTTGTGTCAATCTAGACTCAGTAAATATCTTTAAGAATCATTTTGTGTGTTTACATCTTCATTTTTGCTTTGAAATGACAGGAATATTCTTAATGATACTTTGATCTTTCATCTTAACTTTTTTGAATTTGAAAAAATTATTCCTGATGTCTTGCTAAAAAGATGGTTCCTGATGTCTTGCTAAAATAACAGACTATTCAATGATGAGCATGAAAACAATACAACATAGAAAGAAAACCTTGTATTATTTTTATTGGTATTTTTGAATGTTGCCTGTGCATGATATTACTTAAATGATATTGTCTTGTGTTTTGTTAACACTGTTCCATTGATAATGTATTGAGTAATCAAGCCTGGGCATGCTGTTTTGAAACCTCTGTTATTTATCCCTGTAAACATAGCCATGGTCTTGCATGATTACAATTAGTTTTACAATCACTGACCACTAATATGAAATATAAGCTGTTTGCACTTGTTACTTTAAGGCATAAAAATGCTATTAATGCAATTAATGTAAATTGGTGAATATTTCTATAAGAGCAAAAGCACTTTTCTGATACAAAAAAAATAATGTGTTATATCAGCAGAGCCAGTGCAAGGGTCTCATGCACACCCCCAATCTGTGATACCCCCCCGCCACTCTACTAAATCACAGTTTTCATAAAGTAGTATTCATATAAAATACAAATTTTATTGTACTCTAATTATGTACAATAATAGATTATATACAATATAGGTAAACAATTGAACTAGAAAAACTGAAAATAAATACAATGTATATGAATACAATACAAATTAGAGACAGGTCACATGTTTCAAGGTTGGAAATAAGTATTCATATATATATATATATATATATATATATATATATATATATATACACAGGGCCAGTGCAAGTATCTTATGCACCTCCAAAACTATGATATGCAATTAGAGACATGTGATAATAGATAAATTAAATAAATAAACAATGTTTTGCAGAAATTTTTAACATCAACTTGAGATTTTTCTTTTTAAAAAGTTGAATAATTTAGCACATTCAACATTATGGATAAATAATATATATATATTATACATAAATAGTGTATTTTATATAGTGTTTTTGAGACTTGGCGTGAACAAACCAAATTCACAGATGTAGATGAAAAAAAAAATGACCCCAAAATGCTGTAAAAAAAAATAGACCCTAGAATGACATCAAAATCCATGAAAATGTTTTATGTTTCCCCTCAGAAGCTCAGACAAGACTATTTCTGTAAATGTGATTTGTATACAAATTGGAAAAAAAGAACTAGAAAAATAAATTTTTTACAGTTTTTAATTTTGTTGATAGGAATAAAATCCCAAAATGATAACAAAAAAGATGTGAAATAATCCTAAATTGGAATAGGGTTGAAAAATTCTCCCATAACCTTTCCCAAAAGTCTAACTACTCAACATTCCTTTCTAGGTGGCTGGACTGGAATAAAATTCCATCAAATTTAAGAAAAGATGAAAAAGAGGAAGAAAATGAAACCATGCTTAATGAATTGTAAAGACTAAATATAACATGCAAAGCTGACAGCGAAAATACCCACCCACCCAAATATACTGGTCAAAATATTAAAACCAACAATGATGAAAACAACAGTCTGAAAAATTTACAGAATTCTGTGAAACAAAATTGTTTATGACCCACAACAAAAATCAGAATTTTTATGGTCAGTGAAGGCTTCTTTTGCATGAGCCTGATTATGAAAAGATTTATTGTTTAAAGAGTTGTCAAAGTTCTTCATGACATGACAGACAATAGAGAATAAAATAAATCAGGAGGATACAGTGGATGAAGTAAAACCCTGATTTGTAATTGGTTCAATTTCTGGAGCAATAACAAATTGCTCATTATTTTACTTTAAATGTTGTCATGTTTAAAATAACATTCATTTTGAGACAACCATATATATATATATATATATATATATATATATATATATATTTCTTATTACTAGGAATGTTATTTTTAGTAATAAATAATGTCAGGTAATTTTTAAATGGACTTTTTAATCCATTTAAAAATTACTGTTTACATTTCAGGTATGAAAATAAAGCTAGCAGTTACAGATTCAACAGGTCTCAACAAGAGGTGTGCTTTCCTTAAGTAGATAACTGAACCTTGCCCTATGACAGTTTCCCATGGCCTAACTGCTAAGGGCATGCTTCAGCTATGTGACCGACTTTCCTGATAGCAAAAAGAAATATAGTTTTGATTGTGAATACAATAATAGTGGTGTCAAGGAAATAACCATACTTTTGACACCGTTTTTTGGGGTTTTTTTTTTGCAGGTATCAAGATTAACATTCCTGAAATATCAATAAGGCTGATTCATTCAATACCTATTGATAAATTTCTGACTTATTAAAAGCTGTACTAGTTTAGTGAAAAGTCAAATGTTTACTGTTGATTTTATAATTTATGATAATTTTAATATATATTTTCCTTTTAATTGTAATTTCCAAAATTTCTGTTTAAGAAATAGATTGTATTAACACTGAAAATAAAAAAAAAAATTTTCACTAAACTTATTAAACTTATTAAAGTAATAAGACAATGCATCTTATTTATGGATATTAATTATATAATACTGATTACACAAATGTGTAATGATTCATAAATAAGAAGCAGAAGTTGTGTCCCCTGACTTGTTAGGTTATAGTAAATAGAAGGGTAGTAAAATTTCCGTAATGCACTAGAAAGACAGTTTTGGCATGGAAATACACAGTCAGTCTCTGTCTGTGTGTGTGTGTGTGTGTGTGTGTGTGTGTGTGTGTGTTTGTGTCTGCCAACTGTTAAACCAGAAAGGCATTTTTTTCTTAAATGAGCTCACAAGAAAGATGTCTCTTCATACAGATAAGCCTAAAACCATTTCTTTTTTTGCATAAAAATCAATATATATATCAAAAAATATATGTTTTGTGAATAATATGAATCAATTATGTAAGCAATTGTATGTTTGTATTTTGTATTGACTTTGTATTTTTGCGCCAAAACTGTCTCTCTCATGTGTTATGGGAATTCTCGTTCCCTCTTTTAACAAAGCTGGGGATGCAATTTTTGCTTCTTATTTATTAATCATTTATGAATCACTAGAAATGATTGAATTAATATTTTGTATTGTGAATAAATTGCTATGGTTATTGTTGTATAATATTGCTCTGATTTTATTATATAACATTGTAATATGCGTAAAGCAACTGTTATTGAACATATCAAATATGTGTATATGTTGTATCTAATAGGATTCAGTCATGCATGGATTTAGGAAATATATATGAACAAGTAGTTTCTTACTGTATATTTGTTATTGTTGTTTTTTATGGTCAGAGATAATAAATCACAGATTTAGAATGTGTTTTAAGGTTAAATGTATTTTCATGAGCATAATTTCCTTATATACATATCCTATTCAAATCTTTTAAGTGTATTAAGTTTTCTCAATGATATAAAAATAGATATTTTCCCAGACAAGGTCTTAAATATGCTAGAAAGAGAGAAGGATATTTTTGTGTCTAGTGAAAGATATTTCCTTCTACATCTCTCAATTGATGTTTTAATTTTTATTTTAATTGAATTTTTTTTTTTATGTGAATGTGTTGATAAGAGCATAACTTAATTATTATCTGTAGGTGACTTTTTTTAATTCTTTAAATTTTCCAGTGGAATTTTAAAATATGTTTCTCATAATTCTGACAAGGTTACTGACTAAAATTTCAAGAAATTAATATATGATGCAAATGAATGTAACATTTTTTATCAAATTTCAAACTGTTTTTACAATATCATAATTTTTATTTCTTAAATGAATAAGCCATTTTTATTTCATTGTGAATTTGAATCAAATTACAATAGCATTTGCCTGTTTTTTCTTGTCTCAGGAATTACATTGAGTTATTTATATTGTGTTTTATTTTGTTGCAGAAATCGAAAAGAAGCCAAAGTGTGGGTCGAATATGAAGAAGACAATGACTAAACGGTGAAATATGGGTTAAGCATACATCTTTGCATTTGGTGGATCCTAGAAGTAGAAGAGGAAAAAATGGCCTGCCAAAGAGAGAGATTGTGGCTGGCAATCAAGGCAAAGACAAACTGTCAAATATCAGTCATTCATTCACCTATGCAGTTTGGAACAGACACACAAATGACAATCGACTGTTGGTTACTTTTAGTGTAACTAGATCACAAAATATGTTTAATACTAATTGAGATAAAAGGAAACAATATAGAAAGAATCTTAGTTTTGTCAAAAGTCTGAATTTTATGAAATGAAAATACTAGAATTTTTAGTACTGGTAATCATACTTTGATTGTACTCTCATCAGATAGATATGTCTATACATTTAATTCATTAATCATATTGGGATTATTATAAACTTTGGATGAGTGTGCAGTCTAATCAAGATTTCTTTATTATCATCATTATTATTATTAATCAAAATATTCAATCCAAATTTTAAGACATTGGTTGAGTCTTGTTTGACATTTTTGTACTATAAACATTAATAAGGTCAGCAATTAAAACTTGCTAAATTTGGTCAAGTAAAAATACTTGTATGAGAGACAAGTTTTAGAAATCATAGCTAATTTTTAAATATGGTTGATTTTAGCTTGCAAATTTTAAATATTTTTTAAATGCAGTTAATTCTAGCTTGCAAATCTTAAATATTTTTTAAATGCAGTTGATTTTAGCTTGCAAATCTTAAATATTTTTAAGTATGAATGAATCTAGCTTGTAAAAATACAACTTCACCCAACAAAACATAAAATATACAAAATGATTTGTTCATTAATATTTTGCTAAAAGAAAAAAAGCTGCTACGCTCTTCACAGAAATAGCTTTCTACACTGATGGAATAGTTTTTATTGATTCCTATAATTTTAGGAATGTCATGAACTCTTCTTCCCTAAATGAAGCAACCATTTTTATAAATAAGACTAAAGTTTATTGCATAATCTTTTTTTGATTGACAAATTTAATTGCCAAATCTAATGGAAAATATAAATCATATTTTTACAAATTGGTCTGAGTTAAAGAAAAAAAGAAGTCATTTGTCTTTCCAATTTTATGGAATGGAATCTAGAAATAATCCGGAAAATTAATGGGCTCACCTGGTTTGACTTGGACACAACAATAAATGTTACAATCATTGGCATGAATGTCACCTACTGCAAGAGACAGAATTGAGCAAGATTTGGTGGAAACGCTTGAATGATTTACTCCTCAGGGATCACAAGTGGAAAAGAACAAAAGAAATTTTTTTATGTCTCTGAGGAAAACCTTGCAAGAAGTAAAAATTCATTTTAAAAGAGGTTGGGAGGGAAAGCCTTTTAAATTTTTTATCTACTTAAATTTAATTTAAAAATATAGTTTCCTTTTTTATTATTGTAATTTATTACTTTATAAATAATATTCAAAAGATAAACAATTCTCAAATTAAAAAAAATAATAATTTACAAAGAAAAGTTTTAAGAAATTATTTTTTTTAACTTTGTTACACATATCAAAATTTTTTCTTTGATTTTTTGCTTAAAAAAACCTAAAGTTTTATGCTTTTAATGGAATGCAATCATTTAAAATGTTCAAGTTTTTTCCTGCTCACCTAATTTGCATTGGAAAGCAAGTCATAACATCATCATAGGCAGGTATTATTGTAAAGTCATATTTAATAATTATCTTCAAATTCAAATCTCCATTTGGAGTGGCCACTGTAGCTGTTAAGTGCAAAAATATTCAATACCTTTCATTTAATGGAAATTTGAATTGGAGATAAATTCTTTATTTACCTTTTAAAAAAATATACTTATTTTCTTCGAAAGTCCTGAAAATTAATAATCAATTACCATTTGGAAGGTTTTTCTCTCTTCTTCTTCAAACAAAGAATATTTACATTGTCTAATTTTTTGAACACCGAAAAGAAACCCAAATATGAAATTACCTAATTTTTATATTGTTTTCCTGGTCATCATAACTTTTATTCATATCATAGAATGAAAACTTTAAAATATTGGTCATCCTTTTCATTTCAATGGCTGTCTACAAACAGATGAAAATTTGAAAATATTAATTTTTCTTGATAAAGCATTTTCTGACAAACATTCCAAAATTTTAAACTGAATTTGAAAAAAATTGACTTTTTATTCCACTTTTTTCTTTTTTTTTTTTTTTTGCTTCATTATCAAAGTTCATTATTAGACATCTGGAAATTTTCATCAAATATGATTGTGTTGTTGGCTGAATTTAAGATTCAAGCAGTTCTACCAATCTCAACCAATTCTAATTTTGTTGTTTCAATGACAAAAACATTTTTCTTTTCAGAATTTCTTCTGAAACTGATACGTGTTTCAATAATTTCTTTTATCTTAGCTGTCAGCAAACATCTGGATTTAATTTCAAGAGAAGAGAGGACTGTTTCATGGACATGTCCAGATTTAAATGCTATTTTATCAGCCACAGAAGTTTTGCTTTTTCATCAACAAATCAAAAGATCTTTTAATCTAAATACAATACCAAATGTCATCAGCATCATTTTCTTTAATAAAACAGAACATACATAAATTGGAGACAATTCAGAGAAATGTAAAATTTCAAAGTAAGTTTGATAATATTTGAAAAACTTAATAGATATTTATTTAATTACGACAATTTATAGGCATTTTTGTTTTACTAATGATTTTTGTCTTTGTTTACCTCATTTTTAAAATTATTTTCCATTTTTAAATTTATTTTCATGTCAACAAACAAAATTCTAATTTGTTCTCCATCTTGGATTTTTTCCATCTCACACTATAAGTATTTGTTGAGGCAAATTATTTAGAATTTTAGGCCATTATTTGAATCTATGGTGGTTGTGTTCAGGGTTGGATTATCCTTTAGGGTCTCTCAAGCTTTTATAAAGATTATGATTTTAATTTTCTAGATGTTATAATTTCTAAATAGTTTCATAAACTGAATGATATCAATGACAAACTCATATTTATTTGACTTTGCAAGAAACAAAGCAAGGAAAAGAATTTTTAGTTTGTGTCAATATGTTTCAAGTAGATAATGTTTGAAATCAAACATCTTATCAAATAGTTCAGAATGTTTGAATCTTAGAAATTTTTATAAAACAGTGATTTTAATTCTTTTGGTTGTTATAACTTCTAAATAGTTTCACAAACTGAAATGATATCAATATGATAAACACATATTTTTGTTATAATACTGGTTATAAAAATCTGTTTTTTTTACCATGGTTGTGTTGAAATATGTGCTATTGTAAATTGTGGAATTTTCAGCCTAAAAAACTCTTTCCAAAACTAAGGGTTGACTTATATGGCAGGTATAAAATACAAACTTTTACTACAGAGTTGTAAGCTAATGTGACTGCAATCCTGACAATTACTGTACACCACTTACTGTACCTCCAGCAGGCTGCCACAAATATATCCCACTAAAACTTGGGTGAACATATTTGGCATATTAACACAGAAATTAAAATAAAATATTAAGACAAATTCTGTGTTCTATTAATGCTACAGCATACATCACGTCCAATAGGTGATACACTAAATGTAAACACTGACCAAGGCCCCGTTTAACTCAGGTGGCCATTCAGACAACTAAGTATGGTATGTGAGCCATCTACACAATTTCATGATAGTAATGACAGTTTATTGAATATGTAGAGTTGGGGGGGGGTCACCCTATATATTATGTATAGGGCTAAATCAGAATTTTTAGTTGAAATCTTGAGGTCAACTTGTACGTCAGGTCAACTTGTATTCCACAATTTATGGTAATTAGGTTTGCAATAAATAGTATATTAGTGGTATTTCTTAATGAATATTTTAATAACAAACAAAAGATAGCTATTCTAGTTTATTTATAAAAAATTGGCAATAAGTTCACTTCAAGCAATGTAAATATCACTAAAATATATCACACTTAAAAAATCACTCAAGACAAATGCAGGCGAGTTAGAAGGTGGCACCATCTAAGGAGAGCCTTATAATTTCATTAGCTTAGGGGCCCCCAAAGATCATAATCCGACCCTGATTGAGGGAGGTTATCTTGTGACAATATCCATTCCCACCAATATTGCTATACTTGGTTTGGGTGTAATGATTAAAAAAAACACAGTGTTGATAAATGCAAAATAAATCTTTACACAATAATACAAAAGGATAAGGTTAAAGTAGAAGTTTCAAGAGTTCAAGTGTAAAAGTCCTGGTGCATACGAGAGAGAGAAAGAGAGAGAGAGAGAGAATCTGGGTGGAAGTAAATATGTATGTATCCAAGTGTAGTAGCTACCTGGGTGAAGGAAAGTATGGATGTTTTCAAATGTATCAATGGACTACTTAAAAGGTGGTGAAAGAAAGGACGTATGTTTATAAATGTAGCAGGACTGTGTAGACTTCTCAGGTCACTAGCTGATCCCACAAGTGTCACATTTTAGCACTGGTTATCTTACAATAACTGCAGCATCAAAGAATGGACAAAATTTATTTATCGATTCTGATTTAGGTTGATTTTCAATCTCATTATATACATATCGAGAGATCCACTTCAAAGGTGCTGCTCCACTTCTGATTGGCTCACAACCTTATATCTTGATTGTGAAAGCTTTTTGATTGGTTCATGAAAATATTGCATTGTGGCCTAGCAATTATGAGTATGCATTTATTTTAAGAGATGGTGAAATTTTGGTCTCCTTGTTATTATTTATTTATTTTTCTATGTATCTACAAATCTCCCTCTCTCTCTTTATTGTTTTATGCATTCTCTCTTTCAATTTCTCTTTCTCTCTCTCTCTCAATCTCTATTATTATATTGAATATTTTTAGTAATTGTGATTACCCTGGATTATCTCCCTTGCAAATGGATAGCATTTGTCATTATCATCATTATCATCCAATTATAAATATGCTTGTTCCTCCCTTTCACACAACCACTATGTCCTGCCAATATCTCATAAATAATGTTCTATTCCA